AAAGAATATCGGCCGATATATCGATATCGGCTCTTTTTTACTCCCTAATATCGGTATCGGCCCCCCAAAAAAACCATATCGCTCGGGCTCTAGTCAAAACTAACAAAAGAGCAACAATATATAAGTGCAAATGACAAGTCTCGGTTAGCCTAATGAAAATTAAAGTTTTTTGCAAGCAAACACTAAAGGATGACACTGATTATGAGCAATAAAGTGATCGGGTTTAAAAAATCTGGGGTTTTCCAGATATAAAACTTTAAAAAATGCTATGAAATTCCTATCTAACTTTAAAGTAAAACAGTCTACTCTGTATTAATTGGGTCTGTGGAAAATATTTTTAAACATAGGAAGTGAAACAGTGATTTCTACTATAATATTTACACATCCCATTACACCCATATCCATCTGGTGATCTAATCATAAGTGAACAGGCCTGAGAGTGCAAACAATAGACGTTATTCTCAGCAGAACATGAGAAAGTGATCAAGCTCATGAAAGAAGTTTGGTTTGATAAGAAATATAATTTTTCATCCACATTTCAGAAAGATACTCACCAAAGATGGAGGAAACATGGCCAATATTCAAACAGATAAATGCAGTTATTTAGTTTGCAAAAGAAGTAAGTAAAACATTTTTATGCCCACATATGATTTTTTTTCTTGTATGTAAAACATGACAAGAATTAATAATGGTGCTTAATGGGTCAGATTCATTAATTTTGTGCAAAAGACCAATAATCAGTTCACACAAAAGCAATTCACAAAACGAACTATTAAAAAAAAATCAAACTAAAACTGACAGCTAACAAGTAAATTCACAATCCTTCTGTAGTGATTAGCTGAATAGTTACATCTTTAAATGTCCACAATCTCGAAGGAGTCTTTCCGGCTCTCTTAAAGGCTATCACCCAGTAAAGCGTGGCAAGAAAACTGAAATATGTTTCACATACTCACAAGATACCTTGTTTTGTCTATACAGAAATCTGTAAGTTCCTTCAGTCAAAACGGACCCTTCACCTGAGAAACTTACCGTGTTATTGGCAAGTTAAACAAAGGGGTGTTAGCAGAGGTGCCTGATTTTAAAATGTATGTATATATTGCTGAAAACATCTGCTCATACTAATGAGGCAAGGTTGTGATCCTCATACTCTGACTGGCGATAGGATACGTCACCATCGGGGTGGTTGCATGGCTCATCGTGATGCCTGGCAAAGGTTGTGCCATCGACACAGCGACCGGTGCCACCGAAACTGCAACAGGGGCCATGGAAACAGGCGGAGCCATTCCCTGGGCGATAGTCTGAGCGAGGGCGGCAGAGATGGGGTCGGGGTTCAGATGCGGAAGCGGTGCGGTAGGGGGCACCGCATTGGCTGGAGGGGCGGTCTGAGCACCGGCCGGGGCCACCAGATCCTGTTGCGTGACGGGACGGGGCTGCAGACCAGCGCTGCTCAGAGTGGTGTGAGTCTGGGCGATGCCATGGTTGTAGGAGCTGATAGAACCAATAGTTAAACAAAGGGGTGTTAGCAGAGGTGCCTGATTTTAAAATGTAAAATACTAATGAGGCAAGGTTGTGATCCTCATACTCTGACTGGCGATAGGATACGTCACCATCGGGGTGGTTGCATGGCTCATCGTGATGCCTGGCAAAGGTTGTGCCATCGACACAGCGACCGGTGCCACCGAAACTGCAACAGGGGCCATGGAAACAGGCGGAGCCATTCCCTGGGCGATAGTCTGAGCGAGGGCGGCAGAGATGGGGTCGGGGTTCAGATGCGGAAGCGGTGCGGTAGGGGGCACCGCATTGGCTGGAGGGGCGGTCTGAGCACCGGCCGGGGCCACCAGATCCTGTTGCGTGACGGGACGGGGCTGCAGACCAGCGCTGCTCAGAGTGGTGTGAGTCTGGGCGATGCCATGGTTGTAGGAGCTGATAGAACCAATAGGGGGCACCAGACTCTGCTCAGACAGAGCGGGAGTGGAGGACAGCGTAATCACTTTAGCCTGGCTTCGGAACTGAGCATTCTGCTCCAGGAGCACCTCGTTGGTGGCTATGAGATTGGACACCTTGAGAAAAAAAGGAAATATGTGAGTTTTGAGAACTTAACTTGAAACTTCACCCTAAAGACATTTAGGACATCGTTACAGTTGTCCTACATTAAAACAAAAATTATTCTGTCACTGATCTTAACATAAAGTACAATTTAGAGATGATTTGCATGTTTTGATCGCAGGATTTATAATGCAAAGGACAAGTCTCAATTGTATAATGCTTCTAAAATACTTATAATAGAAAGAGGTCATCCAAAAATATACTCTGTCATAGGGCTGGGCGATATAGCTAAAAAAAAGGTATCAACGATATAATGTTTCATATCGTTCGTATCGATAATTATTGACATTTTTTATAACCTTTTTTAAAACAAAGAGCAATAGAATTTTTTTTTTAATTTAACCACTGTATTTTTAAATTAACCCAATTTATTGAGACAAACAACAAATATTTTTTGTTTTAACAGTCAAACACACAATAAAAATTAAACAAATATCTAATTTCTAATGTTTTATATGCAGATTAATAAATAGGTCTGAAGGAAACTTTTGGCTTGTCTCCCGAGACTACAGGAGGGCGCAATGAGCAAAATAATGCAGCAATGTCTATAAAAAAACTGCATTACGTCTAAATTAACTCATAAATCAAATATAATTCGTAAATTGCATAAACAATTATGAACAAAATAGCATCATGTATTTATGCATTGCTTAATACAAAGAGCCGAATCGCCCATCACGCAGATTGCATTTAAAAACATATGAGACGCAGTGAAAAGGAATAAACCTTTCCAAATTCGCGACGTGTTTTCTAAAAGTTTAAACTGTTTTAACTTTTGCATGGCTTTCTATACCTCTCTTGTGTGAGACGTGAGTGCAGCAGTCATATTTGTCCGTCTAGAAAATGCGCTGAATATGCGTTCTGTGTGAATGGCTTGGTTTCGGTTTTCACCTAATCAAGATCTTCTCCGCATTGAGCTTCTATATTTCTTTAATATTTTGAATGAATAACACAGCAGCGGCGCATCTTGTGAGCTAGACTTAA